GAGAGCGGGTCTTGATTGCGGTGAGTGACCTTGGCAGCGATTTTGTCGTAAAGGTGGCCTCGCATCGCCACAATTACATCCGTAGCCGCTAAATTAGAGCGGCGTAGTTCGTCAAATGCGTGGTCGCCTTCCCGCCGTCGACCACTAGTACTGTTGGCATAATGCCAAACTAAATATGTTGGACATAAGCGGTATGAAAATAGTGATGGTGAAGACGTTTTCATCATTTCCATTGGTTTTCCAAGAAAATCGTATGCACAGATAGTATTCGATTTTTGGTCCTATTTCACGGTGCTTATAGCGGTTAAGTGCTATGCATTCCGCCTGCAGACAGAAAAAATAAAGGGCATCAAAAATAGGGACACTATTATATTTTGCAGTTAAGGGCCAATCTAGGTCTGACAGAAGGCCTAGGTGAGGGAAGATATCCCAGGTGATCCCTTGCAACCTGAGCTGCGTGGTCCTCTCAACGGTAACGATTACGACAAAGAGGGACCGCATTGAGGAAATACAGGGGGGCAAAAAAAGACATTTTGCCAGGTCGCACTTCGGCCTTTTTTCTTCGCAGAGATTGCCGTCGTTGACGGAAGTTCCTCAGCAAAATTCCCTAAATGTCCCTCTATAAGTACACGCAGGCCCTCCTTCACTACCCTCACCGTCTTCAGAATATGACGTCATCTGTCACCGTCGTCGAGCTCAGGGAGGCCTACAGTAACTGCTTCAGCCTGAAGCTCTTACATAATTTCTTGGATCGATTCAACGTGGGATAGTTTCCTAGGGACATTAGCTCTAACTATGCCGTATGAACCCTTCGTAAGGTAAATAATCAGTCGAGAACCCCATTGAGCTCGACCAGAGCACCATGTTTCCGGGGCAAACTTTTCTGATGCCGTCCACGTAGATGGCCACTATGAAGATTTTCTTATGAAATGAAATGCGCTCTTCAATTCTAAGTTGGGAGCACACGCTTTGAGCTGAGCAAAGTGTGATTAAATCCATTTGAGTCTGGAGACAAAATGTCTTTTTCCATTGCTCCCCCCCCCTTGTAATCGCACACCAGGGACACAACATTCAACGGAAACAACGAACAACCCTCTACTGATTGAATAGATCGGAACGAGTCAGATCGAGATCAGATCAGCGGACCGAATGGAGGATTTTCCTGCTCACTCTTTCAAGCCTCGTTATACAACAGTAGCCGGCGACGTTGGCAGCTTATGATTAGAAGGTTGAAATGCAACAGGAATCTGCTAGCACTCGAAGGCGGAGTTTGATACGAGAGAAGACAGCTCATTGGAAATCAAGGTAAAGAAGTTTAGCGATGTTTGAGTGATCTTTCCTGCAGACTTGACCAAACCAAAATGGTAACTGAAACGTGTGACACCAAACCCACGGCATATGGGACCTGCATTCAAGATTTCTAATTTAGATTCGCATGCGGCGCTCATCTGCTACCGTAATTCGTAACCACCCTCCAGTTGGGAAGAATGCCTCACAATAACGCGGGAACTGAGGCCCTATCATAAGGAGTGGCCTTCCACCAGTGACTCTGAATCAGGAAGTCCGATCGTCCTCCTGCTGGTCTCTGGGTGGTCTCGAGGACCAGACTGTGTTACGGTAGGTGGCCCACCTTTGGATTACGTGATGAGTTCTTTGATCTCGAACTTCAGTAGGGTCGCTGAGGCGTTTCGTCGGATAGTCATAAATTGTTTCGACATTTTCAGGCTCTGAAGAAGGCTATCTCCGCCGAAACGTCAGCCCATTAAAGTTATTTGCCAACTTCGTGAAGAGCTTTGAAGAAGATATCAACTAGCTGAAGTCGTGTTATCTTATCGTGACCGTGCAGCCAGTCCGCCAGAAATATAGGAGGCAGATTGTGGAAAGTGGATACATTGTTTGCATTACCTGCCTTAGTTTCTTACAACGAATGCCTTCGAGCAAGAAAAGTGGTTAAAATTAAGTATCGTTTGCTTGAAGCAATTTCTGGCTCGCTCAGCTTACGCGGATTGCAGCGAGCACTGGTAGCGTTTGTTTTTGTGGGAACATGTTTAGCCAGCCAAAGTTGATGCTGTGCCATAGAAGCTATTTTTGCCACAAAGACGCTGTACTTGCAACGTGGTCGAAAAAGCATAGGAGCTACCTCTTGCTTCTTGTTCTTCTAGCAGTGAAGAGAAGGCTCTCCTGAGTATTCAATCGCTTTAATTATGTGCACAATCCTTCGAGCTGCATATGTCAGGTAGAAATAACTGTTTGTAGAGAAGAGTATGATCTTTCATTGCCAAGATTACATAATCATACGGCTGCTTTCGAATCAAAATTTGGTCCATGCTACTCGAATTCTTCTTGATATCCCACCTCTCATCAAATCATTCTTGAGGGACACAATTGAATGCACGAACCCCATTCCAATCTTCGAAAGACGAATGAACCTGCTCATGTCGGTTGAAATAATCGTAACCGGCCAATGTGTCCATGATCGGATATTTTTTACCTCTGACCTTTTACTCGATTTGTCATCAAACATTCTTCGATGTTACTACTGCAATTAGATTTTTTGAAATACTTTGAACAGCGGTTGCATTGATTTGAAAACCTCGTGGAACAGGTGTAGCCAGAAATTCTTTTTAGTTCTACTTGGCGGACTCGCGAAAAATTGCACTGTTGAAAAGTGAACTAAAAGGCTCAATTCAGAAGCTCATCCTATCAAAGCTATTGTCAGAATTTAAAGGAATCTCCGGCAGAAAAATTGCGTCTTCATTCTCACAAAAAAACGATACATTGACCCTTGCTTCACAAGGATAGCAAAAAGAAAAGAAAATAAGCGTTGGTTTTGTTAATAATCATAATAATCATAATTACTAGTTAATGCATGGAAATTTTAAATTCCCGCCATTAAAACATCACAAAAGTTCGCCATGGGGGACTCTTCAGTTGTTTCTTGGTGTAACGTCAACCAAAATTTACTTGGTCGAGAAGAACTTAAACCCAATGTGAATATTCGCGTTCGTTCGGCGGTCGCGTCGCGGCTACGCTGCGGAGAGCGGTGTTCTTGCTTGACTCTTGGGCGAAACACGTCGAGTCATTCAATGCCTTTGGCGGGTAGTGCGCAACACGTGTTGGGGTCCTTTTGCATTCATATTACGCAATGGGGCTCTCATTCAGCGAGGGAGCCCAGCGGTTTAGAGCGCCCAACGCGTTCAAGACCACGACCAATTTTTACTGTGAGACGTGGAAGGCTGAGCCTTATGGTTTAGAGGAGGAGGCAATGACTAAAGGGTGCGTGGAGAAGTTTCTTCCGACGAAGTTATACGACTCTTCAGGCTCAGTCCTTCGAAAAATTCTCATTCCGGCTCACAAAGGCTCTTCTTTTCGCCCATTACTGTAAAGAAGAAAAGCTACACACAAGAAAATATAAGATGTGGTGTAGGAATGAAGACGCTGAAGCTGGCAGCTTCAGGGAACTCCTTCCGCTAAAATGACATTAGTGTAGGTGCATCGAAACCTTACTGGATGAGACTCGACAGCAGTTTTTCTCATGATATTTTGGCGTACTTTGCAGGTGTTGTAGCGTTTTGGATTCTCTTCTTCTGACTAAGTCTGCTTTCCTTAATCCTCGAAAGCACACTATGATTCAGTTTCTAAAAACTTGTAACGAAATGACCCTTCAGCTACACTGCCTGTAAATGATTCTTTTTCCATTGCCTTGGCTTTGGTTTATTTAGTCGTTTACCTGACACGGCTTCTTTGCGGTGCATAAGTTATGCTAGATTTTTTTTGAATTTTATTAAGCCGAGCTCATACTCCAAGGTTTGATAGACTGTGAGATTAGTTATCAGACTCACTAACCATAAGATTAAACTACGATTAGAAGGTAGTGATTCGGAGAGTAGGTGATTAGGCGAGATTGGTCGTTCCGTTGAAAACAGTCAATGGTACAGGATCTTTTTCGAGCATTCCCTATCTCCTAATGTTCTTCGATCATAAGTATACCAATATACTAACATTTGGTGCGCATTACCAACGAAACGCACTGAGCAACGTGTCGCGTCCATGAGTCATGCAAGAAGAACGCGCTCTGCAGCGCACGATAGCGCCGCGACCGCGAACGAACGCAAATGTTCAGATAAGTTCTTCTTTGGCGTCGTTCCTAGAATCGTGCAACGATTTTATCGTTACACTATTCATCTTTATTGGTATTCTATTTTATCGTGTTTATTCGAGCATCCCATTGATTCTAAGGATTTTTGGGAGTGTAGTCGTCTGAGCTTGACGATTTCAATGCAGATAGGATAACGTTGAAATGAAATGATTCGCACCTCAATGTTTTGTACTCACAGCCTTTCGAATTTTTCCTCTGGTGCGGGAAAGCCTACGTGTGTGCGACATTATGGCAAGTTCTAAGGGGGAAAAATCCACATGTGTGCGCCTTGAATCACTTCACTAGAAAAATGACCAAATAGATCATCAGGGTTTTTTATAAAAGAGATCTCTAATGTTTCATAGTAGCAAGATTGTTTTTCAGCTGTTTGGCTCTTCATTTAAAATTTTGTTCTCAAAGGTCGAAATTAGGGTTTCAGTCAAAGCAGTAGTCTGAATGTCAGATAGTTCTCTATGCCATCGAGTTTTATAGCATTGTCTACGAGGAAGAATGGGAAACATGGACAGTAACCGAGTTTTAGTGGGAATTTGCCGCATTTTGTTCACTGTAGAATAAGGGTCTCCTCCCATATGTCTTTTGAGTAAGAAAAAACTAGTAGAAATCCTTAACATTGTGCATACATTCTTGCTTTATTGTTTTACTTCGTAATTTACTAATATGTATGGTGATCGTCAATGTATTGGGTTGTTCGGAAAATTTTCGAGCCAAACACCAAAGGGATTTTTTTGAAAAAGTCATGCTAGCGTAAATCCTGAATCTCGAAGAAAGCGTTTTTATCTATATTTGTGTACTTTGATGAGTATTTCAGGTGACTTTACTGCACGGACTGGGGGATTCAAGGATGGTTGGGCTGATGTGTTCGCCCACGAAAATCCGCAATGACGATACGAAGTATATTTTGCTTACTGGTAATATGACATCCCTGGAGTGTTTTATAATTATTACTGAGGAGGCAACCCCAATCTGTGCTGATATTGCAGTGCATCACGAAAAGTGACATTGAATATTGGAATGAGAACGCCAGCTTGGTCCGATTTATTTGGATTAGACGCTAGCGCCTGCGAGGATTCAGATGGAATGGTCCAGGCTACACGAATTGTTCATGGGATGATCGATGCAGAGGTAGTTTTTCGAATATCTCTCACCATTCACGCTCAATCGTAGCGGATTTGATTTCAACATTGAAAAACTTCACATATTTCTACACCACTTTTTTGCTGATGTTTTTACTTTTTATTCAGATTTTTGCTCTCTGATCTAATAATTGTAAAGGCCGTTTGACCCCGCTCTTCTATCTTTTCCTATTTCAGAATAGTGACGTGACGAGCTAGTTGTTTTTTATAGATGGCGACTGGCATTCCATCGGAGAAAACCATGCTAGGGGGTTTTTCAATGGGAGGAGCAGTGGTTCTCTACGCTGGTCTCACCTATCCACACAAACTCGCTGAAATTGTTGGCCTGAGTTCCTTCCTCGTCCAAAGGGACAAACTACCATGGTATACGTTTCCGGCTTTGAAGATTCCATAGAGTTTTGTAGTTTCGATTTTCTGGTGTAGGTTTGAGTGAAGGAAGTAGCTCTTGTGTACTTAATTCACGAGCTCGCTTTGCTTGCAATGTAACAATTAAATAGCATACATTATACGAGGTTGTGAAGTGTGCCTATGCGACAAAAATGGTAGAGGGTCGGGCCATACTTACCACTTCGGGTCTGAAGTTCGTATGTGGAGTAGATATGAATTGTTCGCACAAACGTACGATGGATACTTACCTAATCCACACTCGAACTGCAACCCGAACTGCAAAGCATGACCCGACCCTAAGGCTACATACAGCGACGCGGCAAAAGCGACAGTCTAACATCCACCAACCGGCTGTAACAAGGTGCAAAAATCGCGGCGATTATGCACATTATGTGTTTGTGCTGGACGCATCTCCCCACCCCAATTAGCGTACTTTTAAAAGTACGGTCCGGGATTAGACTTATCTTTCCTTTCCCTTATTCGATCGTACTAGACAGGCAGAAAAGCGTTGGTGTCGCGCACCTTCTGCGACTTGGAAGGGCGCTTCAAAATCGTCATAAATTGGCTCGAACCGTAATCTACACCCTCGTCGGCAAGCCTCGCCTTCCGCTGTCGACTGCACGTGGTGCTGTGAGAAAAGCGCGGGCGCAGTTGCGGCAATTGTTGCATTGCGGCTTAATCCCACTATCACTGGAGCATTTGGCTAGGTGCGCGAATTATTCGTCTAACTTTCCCTTTGTCTGTCCCAAATTGGAATACGCCTGAAATATCCATCCCAAAATGGAATACGCCTGAAATTGAGCAGATCTGTGTTGAAAGGTGTCGATTACGAGGTTGTATTCTATTTTCGCTACGTTAGCGTAACTTTGTATAAATAATTTTTTATAGTACACTTTATCTTTTTTTCAAGCACTCGCTTTCGTATTGTGTTAACCTGGGGTGTGGTTCAGTAGGACAGAAAGCGTCTTGTTAGTGAAACATTGTTCGTTGCGGGAATCTAGGGTCCACTGATAATTCGCTGTGGGACTTCGGGTCCACTGATGATCAGCGGTGGACCTGAGGTTCCCAGAGCGGAGAATGTTTCGCGCTGCGAAATGCGAAGAAGTTGCTTCTTCTCCTGATGAACCACACCCTTCCCGAGCGCGAAGCGTTTTCAGGTCGTCAGGAACCCCAGCTCCACTGATGACAGAGGAAGGACCTTGGGATCTCGCAGCGATAGCTTCGGCGCCACGACCATTGCAACTTCGAGTGGGAACTCTTCCAGTGCGAATACCTGGGATTCCACGTAACCTTTCCAAACAACTTTCTTCAGACCAGACTTGAATTTCCACTCATTACTACCCTTTTACTTTCGAGGGTAAGGGTGATAGAGTTCGACACATATTGTCGATGTTTGAGCCTGGAACAATTTCAAAATTGCTAGAGCGGGAATAGGTTTCAATGCAGGGAACTCTTCCAACGGCACGCACTGATGACCACAAGGAAATGGAAACAAAAACTTTTCCATAATCCGTTTGCGTCATGCGCGGCCTCTTGGAGGTGAAATCGGTTTCTCGCGACTGACCGTTCCGTAACTGCACGCAAATGTAGCGATGGCTTTGAAAGAAATCAATGAAGCGTTTGTGATGCCATCTGATACTGCGTGAATTGCCGACCGCAATTTGAATACGTCCTCCACGTTGAATAGTAAGTTTGTTTATCAGCTCTGAATATTATACTCGTTTTTCTAAGAAACTCGTAAAAAGATTTTATGGTTCACAACTGGTCGAGAGGACATGATGTAGTGAACAGTTGGCTGCCCGCCTACATAATACCCAATTGTTTAGCAAGGGAGGTGGCGGAAGCTCTTCGCTTTCTCTTCTACACCCACTCGGAGCTTTCCTCCCCTGCGAACGATTAAATCACTCCAGGTGATATGAGCTATCGCCGCGTATGCCCTCCCTAACTATAGATAAGATCTGAAGTTCTCGTCGCAATGATAGCCAGAAAGAAATTCTCTAATTTCAGAGCCTGCTTGGGATGTTGCCAAAGCTGGCTCTTAACAGCGGAACGGCTGTATTCCAGAAGTTTTCTCTATAGTACCATAGGGTTGATATACTGCAACGTATCCTACTTGGAATAATTCATCATATTTTGCTGAAATTCTTATTCAGGTCTTCGTATGTGAAAAATTTTATTACCTCTTGGAAGTCACAATCCCCTCCTCTGTCGCCCTTGTTGAAAGTAGGCCGTCTTGGAGGTCTATGTTTAGCACGTGCTATGTCCCTCTTTTGAGGTTGGCTCATTATTGAAACAATGACTTTGGAATTCAAAACTCACAGGACCTGGTTGCAGGTGTGCTGAATGCAAAAGCAAACCTCACCTCAGCAAACGAGCTGTCATTTGGATAAGGAATTCCTCAGTACTGAAGAGCCACACTTTCCTTTTCTGATATTTTAGCAGCTGTCCATGCGTGAGTCCTTATGCCAGTCCATTTGTCTTTGAATTCAGAAATCATCGTGCATGCACATGTCCTTATCTAACCCAACTTTTGAAACCTCGCATCCCGCATTGTTGCTCCCTCCATAAAAATCCTCAATATATTGTTAGAGCCTTAGGAAACAAGCATAGGGTTTGTTTCGGTATTGGAATTATACAAATGACATTTTGACTTGTTTTGTTTGTTAACTGCTGTTTTAACGCCGCAGTTCGCGTTGCGAATGTTTCACAAGAATGCTGGGTTGTGAACAAAACTTTCGCCCCAGGCGGGACTAGAACCCGCACCTCTCGCTTTCCGGGCAAGTGCGCTACCAGTTACGCTACCGGGGCACCATTTCATTCCAACTCAGCTTTTCATGGTATACGTACCATAGCTTTCAGCACTCACACGTCTAACGTGTTGAGCCGGTTAGCCGATATCGGCAATGACCGCGAGGCTGAAAGCTTTAGCAATGGATTTTGACTTGTTGGAAGTAACGATTCTAATTAACATTCTTGTAAGAAATACGTCGAAGACCTGTTCACTGTGCCATCATCAAACATTCATTGAGAAGTCTTCTCGTGAAACGAACGGATTCGTATTATGTAAGCTGCAGCTACTTCACATTTCATAGTCGCATAGTATTCAACACAAGTTGTTCAGGCCCGACCTCGATGACCGCTTAATCATGCGCCTCGTTTACCGGAGTTAGAGACGGCTCTACGAGTGACTCTTAGGATCCGAGGCCAAAGGAAAAGTTACACTTCATGTTCTAACATGAGTACTAGGTACAAGTGCCATTCCAAAACCGATCTCAATTTGTAACCTTTTCTACTTTTCAAGAGTGATGCTGAAAACACTGGTATCGAGCCAGAGGAGAATTCCGAACTTGCCAGTGGGTGTGGAACCACCATCCATGACGCGGAAAATTTGATCGTGTCACAAACCTCTTTCGACTTTCCTAGGACCTCTGATGGAATCGGATCACAGCTGTCCATCTTCTCAAACCAACTTTCCCAGCTCACGAATCCCATACCGATTCCACAGTGGATCCACAATTTTCCGAGTGGCGAAACAGACGACCCAAACTACTCGAGCAGCATTTCCTGATTCAAGGAAGTCAGCTGCTGAAACTATTCCGTTTCTGCCCATCTTGGGCTGCCAAGATCTCAGAGTCTATACGATGTGTTAGATTACGAGCAGTAGGTACGGCCCCTATTGTGGACTACATATGCACAATATGCACCCCCTTCGAGAAACGCTTTGAGGGGACAAGAGAGAGCGGTTGCTCATACAAAGGAAAAACCTTCAAAGGGAATGTGCAGGTCGTTGTGGCCGCAATAACTACAGGGACACGATTCGTGGTAAGTAGGCAAATTTTACTATACTATTTGTTATCCATAAAATTCAAAGTTTACAGGAGTTAAAACGCTGGGCCGAAGAAGCTAATTTAGCTTTTTTTGGCAAGACTCTTTTGACAACGTTTTTTCGCTGACGGCTCCATCTATCGAGCGGGTGTACTTGGTGCACCAACAGCGCATCCTGTCAATCATTAGAGAGGAGTACAGGGTACATGCATGGCCTTTTACAGTAGAATGGTCAATGTGATCGCTAGATTTGAATTATAGAGAATCGGTTCCGGATTGAACATTGCCGCGGACGGCTCGTATGATAGCAGGGTTGTAGTGCTGAAATTGGGAAAGTGGTCGTTACTGACCAGCTCACAAAGCTTATAATGCACACGGAGACTTTAGATCGGTCTCAGTGGCGGTCAGTTGTTCTGCTTTCTGATACACATCCCATCTATTTGGTGTTTCTGCAGACAATCATAGCCCCTTGATGGAAATAGAAGGATTGAGGAGGGCTTTGCATTGGATAATTATGCAAGGACTGGTAATTTCGTCTCTAACGACCTCGTAGAGCGTAGCTCTGGTGAGTGTTGGCAGATAAATGGCAACGTTTATAGAACCAAAATGTTGGAGGCATTACTATAGTTCGAACCGACGGGTGGCAACTCGCCAAATGGTTAGGGAACGAGCTACGAAAGGTACTTTTCCTATCGATTCGGTGTATTCGCATGATTGTGGCATCCCTCTTTATAGGAGTCCCGTCGCTCCGATGCGACGACCATCGCTGGATGGATTGAGAAGACTAAAAGGCATTCGTGGAAATGTATTGAGCAGGGCCCTTCCAGTGTGGACGTGGAGTACCGGATCGATTGCCCTGAAGCATTTTTAGCGACGTGCATCAGTTGGCCCTCAAACTCCCACTTAACCTACCTACGGATCCTCGAGGCGGCGAAGTTTTTGCATTTCTATTGGCACTTCCAGAATGGTTTCAAATTGCACTAATGTTAAAATAGATGTCTTATTCAAGGCCAGAGCCATAAATGACCACAATGAGGTAAGTTTTCACCAAAAACAGCAAAAAGGTTGTACCGTCGAAATGGCGCCAGCGGCAGCTCCGAAAAACAATGCCACATTCGTGATTGAAGCACTGATTTACTTTATACCCGAAGTTTTGAGCAAAATCGCATCTCTGCCCAAACT